CCTCACCCGAGGATATTTTTTCCCATTGATTTTTTAGAAAGAGTGGAAAGGAGGGGAAGAGACAGAGAGAGAAACATCGATGCGAGAGAGACATTGATTGGTTGCCTCCTGCATGCGCTCCCTGGACCAGGGCCAGCGATGGAGCCCATAACCAAGGTATGTGCCCCTGACCGGAATCGAACCCCGGACCCTGCACTCTGTGGGCTGACGCTCTATCCACCCAGCCAAACCGGCTAGAGCTAGAATGAAAGCATTTTTCTACGTAACTACGACAGCATTCTCACAGCTCACAATTAATAATGATTTCGAAGTAGAATCTAATATCCTTGCGTTTATTCTTCCACGGGCGACATTTGCCCGTTGAGACTGACTTTGCCTTTTCCAACATTCACGTCTGGTCCTTGTTCCCTGCAAACCCACCAGGTTCATTGGCGTCGTCAAGACCTATCGTCCCAGAAGACAACTGCGTCCCCTGCTCCTGGGCCGGTCAGGGGTTCCTCAGGCCCCAAGGACGGGCTGTCTCAAGACAGACGGCTCCCAGCAGGGGCAGGGGGGCGTTATTTTGACACACTGAGGGGCCCCCGTAGCTGATAGAGTTTCTAAGCTCCCACAGCCATACCAGATAGTAAAATCAACCTCCCTCCCTCTCCCCCTCCCTCTCTCCCTCTCTCCCTCCCCCCACCCCATGGGTTTCTAGCCTGCTTTACGAACTGCACTGCAGAAGGAAAACACTATCCCATGAGTCAGCGCTGCTTTTGGCAATCCCACTTCCGTGGGCCTCGGGTGGGACGCAGGAAGTTGCAAAGCTCCCCAGGATCAGAGCCTGGCCGGGGGCGGGGCATGGAAACCCCCCTTGCGTGGCTGCCCCCACCTTCTGTCTGTGCGCTTGTGGGTTCTGTGAGCTGACTCCAATTACCTGGGGATGTGAGTGGAGTATCGACTATAAATAAACGCCAGGCCTCCGCAGAGCGTCCCTGCTCACGCACTTGAACCCATCTGGGGGGACCCTGTCGCTGAAGCGGGGTGCGGAGGGGGAGAGGCTGTGGACGGGGAGAGAGATGAGCCGGGCCTGCCCTTGGCGCTGTCCCTTGCTAGTTGCATGGAGGGTTTTATCTTATTTTATTCAACATTGCTTTTTATTATTTTTATTTATTTAATCGTTATTGTTGAAAGTATGACAGATGTCCCCTTTTCCATCCCATGGACCCCCTCCAGCCCGCCCCCCGCCCAGCCTCCCCCGCCTTCCCTCTGAGGTTCCATAGCCTGTTCATGCTTCCCTGTCTCTGGGTCTATTTTCGTCCACCTGCTTATCTTGTTCATTAGATGCCACATGTGCGTGCGATCATGGGATGCATGTCTTTCTCTGACTGGCTTGTCTCCCTCAGCATGATGCCCTCCAGGTCCTTCCCACGTGGATGCTTTTAGAAAACTTTGAACCTGAACTCTCCAGGCCTCAGGGCGTCCTTCAAGGTGAGCAGAGTGGTACCCACCTCGTGAGTCTTGAGCTATGGCACCCAGAAGGGCCCGTGGCGACTCACTGTGGACGGAACCGTCATACGTCACTGTGTCCCCTCCCATTAAAGCCAGCCTGCACTCTTTAATATCTTCTTTTTTAAAAAATATATTTTTTTTATTGATTTCAGAGAGAAAAGAGAGGGAGAGGGAGACAGAGATGGAATCATCAATGATGAGAGATTCATGGATCGGCTGCCTCCTGCATGCCCCGTACTGGGGATCGAGCCCGCAACCTGGGCATGTGCCCTTGACCGGAATCAAACCTGGGACCCTTCAGTCCGTAGGCCAACACTCTATCCACTGAGCCAAACTGGCCAGGGTTTTAATATCTTCTTGTTACCATAGCAGCTCGATGAATGTGCTTCCATTATTTAGGGAGGAGGAACGAGGGGGGAAGAGTTCTGATGATCCAATCCCAGGGTGAAATATTTTGATCCTATTTAAGCCGTTATAATTGTGTTTTTCTTCTTTCTCTTAATTGGGTATTTTTACCGCCATTGAACGATTGCGGGAAAAGGAAAATTGGACAATTAGATGAGCAGAAAGGTTTGGTTGTACAGAGATCCGGTGTATCGTCACACTGGGCAGGGCTCCGGACACCTCTGATGCCAGCAACCAGGACAGCGCCCCGGCTGGGCAGCGGTGCCTACGCTCTACTCACGCTGCAAGTGTGTGTGGCTGTTGGTGCTGTGCTGTGTAGTCGAGGCAAAGCCCTGAGGGTCCTGTCCCGACAACATGACATCCAGGCCCTGGCCGGGCGGCTCAGCTGATTGGAGCATCACCCCGTACACCAATAGGTTTCAGGTTCGATTCCCGGTCAGGGCACATGTCTCGGTTGTGGTTGGATCTCCAGTCAGGGCAACCGATCAATGTTTCTCTCTCTCTCTCTCTTTCTCCTTCTTCTTCTTCTTCTCCTTCTCCTTCTCCTTCTCCTTCTCCTTCTCCTTCTCCTTCTCCTTCTCCTTCTCCTTCTCCTTCTCCTTCTCCTTCTCCTTCTCCTTCTCCTTCTCCTCTCCTCCTCCTCCTCCTCCTCCTCCTCCTCCTCCTCCTCCTCCTCCTCCTTCTTCTTCTTCTTCTCTCTCTCTCAAATCAATAAAAATATTTTTTTTCCCCAAAAAAGAAAATCTAGTAGTTTAACTAAGTCATAGTACTAAGGTTATTCCAGACCAATTTCCCAATGTGTGTGGAAGGTACATTAAATATGTAACTTAAATTTTCTCTTATTTCTGGATTATTTTATGGGATGATAGCTTTTTTCAGTTTTATCGAGATGTAACTGACATACAGCGCTATGCAAGTTTAAAGTGTACGGCATAATGGCTTGACTAACATATATTATGAAATGATTACCACAATAGGTTTAGTTAATATCCGTATATTTAAAAATAATTTTTTTTTTTTTTTTTTTTTTTTTTTTTTTTTTTTTTTAGCCCTAGCCGGTTTGACTCAGTGGATAGAGCGTCAGCCTGCAGGCTGAACAGTCCCTGGTTTGATTCCGGTCAAGGGCACATGCCCGGGTTGTGGGTTCGATCCCCAGTAGGGGGCATGCAGGAGGCAGCCAATCAATGGTTCTCTCTCATCATTGGTGTTTCTCTCTCTCTCTCTCTCCCTCTCCCTCTCTCTCTGAAATCAATACAAATATATTTAAAATGTCCTTGGTCTTTAAAAACACACACACCCTCCTTTTATTATAAAAAAGAAATGTGGTGAATTTTCTGTTTTCTTTTTACAATAGCTTTGTGTGCCACGGATGTGATGTTTTTGTTACTCTGCATTCCGACACCGGGTTCGTGGTTCAAGCGTGTTCTGTCGCGTGGGGAGGTGCAGTTTTGCATAGCTAACAGTGCCTGGGAGTCACCGTCTTTCATTTCCGCGGGACCTGTAATTTTTCCTTCCTCCTTGCTTCTCTCCCTTCACTGCCAGGCCCTCCGACGGGCATGGCCCTTTCTCGATTTCTCTGACTTTTCCAGGCGCCAGGCTTCCTCAAGGCTGCCACCTCCTGCCCCACCATCTTTCAAATCTCTTCTCTTTCTTAAGTCAAATACTGCGTTCAGTTTTTAGCTCTTGGCGTGGGACTTTCCCTTTATAGAGGGATTTAAGCCCGGGCTCCACTTAAGCCCTTGGCAACCGTGGAGGGGGCTGGGGTGGGGTGGGGAGCTCTGTTGGAATTTGATGTCTTTTCTTCCTTCTACTTAACAAGGAATTTGGAGTTCAGTTCCCGGCATTCACTCTCGGAGTAGTGAGCACGGAAGGCCTGTTCGCTGGTGCCTGTGTTTTGTTGAGGATGCGAGCAGGCGCAGGTGCAGGCAGCTGTCATTATTCTCTACAGCGGGGAGAGGGGAGCTCCCAAATCACATTTAAAATATCAAGTGCTAAGTAACATTTATTTCGTGTCTAGGAGCCGCTGGAAACTGCGCCGAGAAGGGCGATCATCAAGGTTATATAGATTCTGTTAGGAGACCGGATCTGTCTTCTTGCATCTTTATAGATGTTGCGTGTGCAAACGCTTGCTTCTTCTTTTAAGAAAGCAACCGATGAAAAAGATTTAAAGACGCGGGGATATATTGTTTCCCTTCTTCTCATTTCATGTTTACTAAATGTTTCACACACACAGGCAACAACCCGGAATGCAACAATCCTGCGCTGAAGCGCTGGGTTCGCTCCTGGAAAAGGTTCCCTTGGAGATGGCTCACCTCCAGGCCCTCACCTCGGGCCCAAGTGAATAAATAAAACGTACCCCTGGGGATCAGGGACATTTTTGCTGCAAGATCAATAAGAAAACTGCAACCAGTAGCAGCCAAGTCGGGTGCAGGAGGAGGTTGTGGCAAAAGACTCAGGTCGGTGGGCCCACGCGAGCCTGGTAAGGGCCTGAGACGGTGTCCGGCTCAGTGGCTGAGCGTGGACCAGGAGGTGGTGGTGACTCCCGGTCAGGGCACATGCCCGGGTGGCGGGCTCGATCCCCAGTGCGGCGCGTGCAGGAGGCAGCCGATCCATAGTTCTCTCTCATCATGGATGTTTCTCTCTCTCTCCCTCTCCCTTCCTCTCTGAAATCAGTAAAAAGGAACAGGAAAAAAAGAAGAAAAAAAGGGACTGGGGGTGACAACGTCCGCAGAGCAGCTCCAGGCCGCAGGGACCAGGTGTCCCCGGGCCTGTGCACGTGCGCCCGGGTGCGCGCTCCCCGCCGGGGTCCAGGCAGCCACCTGTCACTCACGGGGGGCGGGGGGCGCGGAGGAGGCGGGCGGCCGGCGTGCGGGGCCTGGAGCCGGTTCCTCCCCCCTCCTCCCGCCTCCCCCCGCCCCGGGCCGCCGCCGCCGCCCGCCGATTGGTCGCCCTTTGCTCCCTGACCCCGCCCCCTCCGATGCCTCCGCGGCCGCCGCTTCCTGCTCGCGCGCCGCCGCCGCCGCCGCCGCCGCCCGAGCCGGGAGCGCGCGCCTGGGGGGCGGGGAGGAGCCGCGCTGCGCCCGCCCCTTCCTCTCCCTCCGCCCGCGCCCGCGCCGCCGCCCGCCCGCCGCCTCCCGCCCGCCGGCCCAGGCTGCACAGGCGAGCACGGCGCCGCGGCCGGCGGCCGAGAGGCGAGGATGCGGCGGCGCTCGCGGGTGCTGCTGTGCTTCGCGCTGCTGTGGGTGCTGGGCATCGCCTACTACATGTACTCCGGGGGCGGCACCGCGCTGGCCGCGGGCGCGGGCGGCGCCGGCAGGAAGGTGAGTGGGCGCCCGCCGCGGCCCGGCCCCCGCGCCGCGATCCCCGCCACCCCCGCGCCCGGCCCTCCCGCCCTCGAGGCACCCCGCGCCCCGGCTCTGACGTGGCCGCCGGGCACCGAGCGGGGGGCTCCCCGCTCCTCCCGCTCCTCTCCGTCCGGATCTGGGCTCGGGCCCCCCGCCTCGGGCCTCCCCGAGTCCCCGGGGCAGCGGGGGCGGCGGGCGCATCGGCCCCTCCGCGCTCGCCGGGCTCGGAAGAGGCCACCCGGCGCTGCCCCGCTGGCCCGGGGCCGCGGGCGCGTTTCTCGTCGCCCCCCACCCCCCGCTCCTAGGCGCCCCCACCCCCTTCGTAGACGCCCCCTCCGCTGCACACAATTTCAGTGGCGTCCTGCCCCGCCGCCGAAGCCCCATCCCCTGCGCGGGGAAGTTTGGGGGTGCGGGTGTTGGGAGGCACAAAAGGGGGTGGGGAGGCGGGGAGGAGGCGGCCGCCTCTCCAGCGAGCGTGTCGTGTTCAGTCGGAGAGAGGAGTCCAAGTTTCTTTCCAGCCCTTTGGTACCAGCGCTGCGGATCCTCCCCCTTCCCCGCGGCGCCCCGCGTGGGGAGGGGGGCGCACGTCTGGACTCTGCCCCTCTCCCAGCCGGTTCCTCCGGGGGCGGGGGACGCAGCCAGCCCGGGGGGCGGAGAAAACGGACTCCCCCTGAGCGAGGCCGGCCACGGCCATGTCCCGACCTTCCCCTCCCGGCCCCCGCGTTAGCCTGCGCCCGGCTGGCCCGGCCCCCCTGCGCGCCGTGCGCCACCCCCACAGCCCGGTGACGCGGGGATGGCCCCTGTGTTTTGCACAGGTCCCGAGGGCCGAGTGAGGGGGCCGTGGGGACCGTGGACGGCGCTCCAGACAGCCGGGCGTTTGGGGGGGACACTGAGCCCCAGAGAAGCCCGGACGGCGTGGTTCTGGGGCCGCGCGCCCGCTGGGCCAGGAGGGGCCTGGGCGCTGGTGCACATGGTGCCGCTGGTCGGTGCCAGCAGTCGGTGCCGGTTGGTGGTTGATGGGTTTGAAAGCAGCGTTATCTTTTCCGAAATGCTGCAGCCCCCACTCCCGTGACGTGTAGTGTCGCCGCAAACCCTGGAAATTCTGAGTGCATGGAGGTGGACCGCGGGTTGGGCTGGAACCAGGGACTGGTGCACAGGAACCAGCGGAGCGCGCATAACTGTAGACAACCGACTTCAGCCTTAAAGTCTAACCTGTAAATGTCAGCGCTGAGTTGGCTGCGTCAGAGGTTTGTTTCTTCTCTCTCTCTCTTTCTTTCCTTCCTTCCTTCCTTCCTTCCTTCCTTCCTTCCTTCCTTCCTTCCTTCCTTCCTTCCTTCCTCCCTCCTCCTCCTTCCTCCCTCCCTCCCTCCTCCTCCCTCTCTCTTCCCTCCCTCCTCCCTCCCTCCCTTCTCCTTCCTTCTGGTATTACATGGAGGTAGGTGCCTTCTTTGATTCTTGGTAAATTTCCTGGGTTTGCTTTCTCTAAGGGGGCAGCGATGAACCTCGTTTTTCCATGTGCGGAATTGGCCTGGCTTGGTTCTGAGCCAATAGTGTGTGTACCCTTAGCCCTGTTGGTCTCTCTCTCTCTCTCTCTCTCTCTCTCTCTCTCTCTCTCTCTCTCTCATTCTCCGGTTGTGTGTGTACACGGAATCCCCACTATTCCTGGGCGATAAAGGGCCGGGGACCCCAGGAGAAGCGGTGCAGCTGCTGTCAGAGTGAACACCGTGGGCGTGTTGCACTGGGGTGATTTTAAACCTGTGTCCCCGGTATCTGTGCCTCTCGTGCTGGTGGCACCTGGCGGGCGGTCTGCCTTCCAGACAAGAGAAAACCAGACACATAAGCCCGCCGGGTACCTCTCTTTCCTCTGTTTGCCTCGATCGTGAGCACATGTGATTCGAAAGGGCTGCCGTGTGATGTTGGCATTTGCAGAGGCCGGACCCCCTGGTAAGGGGTGGGCTTCTGCTGGTGGACTGGGTTAAACTCTGAAGAGTGATCCTGAGTTAAATAAATAAATAAATAAATAAATCCAAGAGCTCTAGCTGGTGTGGCTCAATGGATAGAGCCTCAGCCTACAGACTGAAGGGTCCCAGGTTCGATTCCGGACAAGGGCACACGTACCTCGGTTGCAAGCTCCATTCCCGGCCCCGATTGGGGCGTGTGCAGGAGGCAGCCAGTGAGTGGGTCTCTCTCCCATGGATGTTTCTCTCTCTCTGGCTCTCCCCCTCCCTTCCTTCCAACTATCTCTAAGAAAAAAAGAAAAAAAAATGGATCCTTAGTTTAAAAATAATCCAAGAACTTCTGATGGACGGGCAGTCGGAAGGTACAAAGAGCATGTAGAAAAAAATGCGTGGGAAATGGTCGGCTGTACTAGCACCTGCATTGGTGATGGGGATTCTATTCTTCCTGTCAGCCAGCCGTAAAGTTTAATCCTGGCCCTGGAATGGGCCGGCGACGGGCGGGTTGAGGACGAGGTGTGCAGAGGCTGTAGTAGCTTTTGAAGTGGCAGCAGGAGGACTTGTGAACATAGTGTGGGGACGCCGCTGTGAGAGTGGGAGTCCCGGGGCTTCTGGACTTCATAGAACCCCGCCGCCCTGAGCTTAATAACCGAGAGTATGGAACTGGGCCGGCTTCCTGCCTTCTGGATTGTTTCCATGGATTTAGAGACGAGCAAGTCTCTTCGGATTTAGTTCGTCTTCACGATACGAGGACGTACGTCGTATTTTTAGCTTGGAAAGGACGGGCGTGAATAGAGAGCATGGCGTGCACGCACAGGCAGGATTTAAATCCGAGCCGCAGTGTTTTGGGTGTAAGTGGGCTTATATTTCTTCTCTTCTTTCCTGCGATTCGAGTCAAGGCTCTCATTCCATATTTAGCGGATTTCTCTGCGCCCTGATTTTTTAAAAAATATGTATTTTTATTGATTTCAGAGAGGAAGGGAGGGAGAGAGAGACAGACAGACAGACATACATCAACGATGAGAGAGAATCATGGATCGGCTGCCTCCTGCACACCCCACACTGGGAATCGAGCCCGCAACCCGGGCATGTGCCCTGACCGGGAATCGAACCGTCACCTCCTGGTTCATAGGTCAGCGCTCAACCACTGAGCCACACCAGCCGGGTCCCCCTGACATTTTTAACAGGGCACCGGGCTGCAGTATTAGGCTTTGGGGGGGGCGGATTGTCTGCCTAGCATTTCTGCTTCTTCAGCATCACCGTGTCCTGCCTGTGAAATAACTCACCCCAGGACCGTACTTCATGTAGCGAAACCCAGGAAGCCAGCTCACCTCACGGCAGGTTTCATAAACTAAACAGGAACCGGTGCGTGAACGCCAAGCCGGGCTTTGCTGCACTGCCCAGGCCTCCACGCTGAGGTTCAGGGTGTGTGCAGCCCGTCCGTGTGTATGCATCACGTCGTTTAACACAGCACTGCAGCGTTTGCGTATGTGTGTCAGTTTAACCGGCGGAATTTCAATCCCAGCTACAGCGTTTCGGGTGAAAGTGGACACATTTCTTCTCTTCCCCCCCCCGCCCCGGGGGGCAGAGGACTAGATGCCACGCCCCGTGCCCAGTTTGCTTCTTCCCTGTAAATTGGTGATTTGCACGTCAAGGGTGCCTTTCCTCCGAGCGTCTGAACCGCTTTCACGTTTTAATCAAGTGACGTTCCCCTGGGCTCTGGCGCGTTGGCCGTGGATGGAGCCGCAGGCAGGCAGGCAGCCGGCCGAGAGGAAGGGATTTCGGGGGAGGTGAACCTGCCCCGGGGGAAAGCCTGGCTGCTTAGGGCGGAAGGGGGTTTGCTAGCCGGTGAGGAAAGAGGGTGTCAGGCCTAGGACCCCTGGTCTGTGACCCCCCAAGGACGTGGGAGGGAGGGAAAGCCACAGCAGGAGCAGGTGTGACAGCCCTTCCCCTGGGGTCCCAGGTGGAGGATTTTGGGCAAGACCTTGTAGGAGGCATCGGGGAGTCAAGGGCCCTCTTTTTGTAAAAAATATATTTTTATTGATTTCAGTGAGGAAGGGAGAGGGAGAGCGAGAGAGAGAGAGAGAAACATCAATGATGTTTCTGCCGGTCCATCATGAGAGAGAATCATTGATCAGCTGCCTCCTGCACGCCCCACACTGGGGATCAAGCCCCCAGCCCAGGGCATGTGCCCTGACCAGGAATCGAATCATGACCTGCTGGTTCATAGGTTGATGCTCAACCACTGAGCCACACCAGCCGGCTGAGGTTCCTCTTTTTGTTTGTTTGTTTAATATATTTTTATTGATTTCAGAGAGGAAGGGAGAGGGAGAGAGAAACATCAATGATGAGAGAGAATCATGGATCGGCTGCCTCCTGCACGCCCCCCACTGGGGATCAAGCCTGCAACCCTGGCATGTGCTCTTGACCGGAATCGAACATGGGACCCTTCAATCCACAGGCCGACGCTCTATCCACTGAGCCACACCAGCCGGCGGAGGGCCCCCTTTTTGGACTGGGGAGGGGCCTCACTTGGCTGGAGCAGGTCCTTGTATGGGAGAACATTGGGGTGTAACTTGGAGAAGGAGTTTGGGACTGAAGTGTAGAGCGCTTCGAATGCCAGGCCGGCTCTTCAGGGTGTCACTCGGTCGGCCTTAGGGAAGCAGTCACGATTTGGAACTGGGCGGTGGGCGTTCAGCGAAGGGGAGCGCACAGACCTGTGTACGGGCCTCGCGGGAGCGCGATGGTCTCCTCCTCCTTCCCGCTCAGGGGCCTTTGCTAACTTCCTGAGCCCCTCCGAGCCTCAGCCTCCTCTTCTTCCCGGAAAGGATCATCGTCTGTACCTGGTGGCAGAGCACGAAGTGCCATGAGCCGGTCCTGGCCTGTCACAGGTGCCGAATGAATGGTAGGAGGGGTGGCCGGGGGTGGGGGGGGGTGTGTGTGTGTGGAAAAGCCTAAATATTCCTTTGAAAGCGTAGTGGACAGGAACCGTGTGCGGCTTCCTGGTTTCTGGGAAATGGT